GGAGTTTCTGCAGTGTGGCACCAGTGGTCCCTGCAGGAGACGGATCTCATGATTCGAATAGACAGTGGGTGGCTCAGCAGTCCCTTCCCATGTTGAATGCCACATCCTGGAGGCTAAGGGCACTGCTTCTTCCAGGGGGAGCTCTGGGTGCTCAGAGGAGGGACTTTTCCTTGGCAGGGTGCTACTGTGGGTGCCTGTGCTGTGCTTGGCTGGCCAAGACCACACCAAGACAGTGGGGTCTGATGCACTCTCTTTTCTTCAGTTCTCCTGGTCTTTTCTATCTGACCATTTCTGCGCAGCAGGATGGCAAGGCAGGTCTCTGTCAGAGGCTGTGTGTCAGTGCAGAGGTGCACATCTGGGGAGGTGTTGAAAGGGAAAATTGCTTCAAGGGTCTAGGTTCACACCTTCCCTTGGGCAGCAGTTTGTGGCCACACAAGCGGAGCAGTTACAGACCCCATACAGCTTGTGCATCAGGGCAACCCCCTTCCTGCCCCCACTCCTTCATGCCCCTGCTTTAAATGGACCTGCCTTTCACTGACAGAAGGTGGAGGAGCTCTGCAAAGAAGGGGCAGCCAGTGCCACTGCTAGAGGCATTCTTGGGCCATGGCCTCCAGGCAGCAGTGTGCAGTTGTTTATAGACTATTAATGTTAAAATAGAGGTATATTAATCTTTGAATAGGTTCCCTAGGTGCTGCTAATATGAAGCATTTAAAGCAAAGCTGGACAAAGTAACTTCACAGAAGACCAGCTGCAGGACTGAAAATGATGCACATCCCTAAGCACCTGGAGAGCTTTTTCTTTCCCTTTCCCATTTGCTGCAACCCTGGGAGCATGCAGGTCAAATACAGCACAGTGTGGAGCACTGTGTGACTGTGCAGTGCCCCCAGTCCCCTTACTGGGATCCCTTAGCATCACTTGGGGCAGGCTGCCAGGTGCCAGCTGGGGCAGGCATCCTTCCCACATCCATACCATACATCTGCATGACAGCGTGCATGACGATGTGCCAGGCTCAAAGGAAGACAGCACCTGAGAAAAAAACAAGACACCCATTTGCGGGGAAGGCACTGAAAAACGACGTTTGCAATGCTCTGCTCTTGCATGTCACTGCTACACCGAGGCCACCACCTTGGGAGCCCTGGTGTCCTTCAGGGCAGAGTGGGAGCCTGCTGCTTCCCACTCAGGAGAGTGTACCAAGGCCGTGTTACTTCTGTTTTTAAATCCATCATGTCCCACCCCTTGAGGAAGGCTAGTACTTCACCACCTTCTGTGGAGCCAGTGTCAGGACTATCTGTGGTATGAGGTGGAGGACCAGCACATAGTGGTAAGGCCCTAAGTGCAGAACAGGGTGTCCTGGCAGGGCAGGGCAGCCCGAGTATGACCTGAGCAAGGGTCATTACTGGATCAGAGCCCTTATTTCTACAGGGTCACACCAAACTCCTGCCACAAAACAAAATCACTAAGGATAGTAACTAACATAACCAAGTGTTTACTTGTACTGGCTGTGTATAAGCGACCCCCATTTACACAAAATCAATGGGGAACATGCAGGCACGTTTTAATGACTCCCAGGACTAGGGAGATTATATAGTCCTTTGTTATTTATTTGTTTACTACCATTTTCTTGCAGAATTAGTCTCAGGCAGCATCCTCTAAATCAGGCCCATGAAGCACAATAGATTTATGCCTGCTAAAAGAAAACACAGGTTCCTTTGTTATTCATCCGCAAAGCCTGGAGATGAAGTCACATCTATATGATGATCTATTTTGGTGGACCATGCATGCTTAAATTCCAGCCTTGATCTTTTAAACTATCAAGTCTGCTATAAATATTTGATGATGAACAAGCTCATAAAAAGAAAATGCAGAATATGAACAGAGGGAGAGCAAATGTGTGATTCAGTTTTTAATTACCATCACCCTACTCTAAAGTCAAATTCGTCTTCTGTAAGAGACAGTAAGTAACACATTTTTTTCTTGCTATAACCTCATCTAAATAATCAACATCACATTTGTTTGTATTTTTTTTAAAGAAAATGATAAATAATTGTAGAAATAAAAGAACCAGAACACAGGAAATAAGGTAGAACAGTCTGGTTTTATTACCATATGTAATCAAGAGCTTTTATTTCTCCTCCCTTCTTTCTTTCTTTCTCTTTTTTTTTTTGTTTTGTTTTGTGTTTTGTTTTTTGTTTTTTTTTTCTTTACAACATACATTAGGTTGTGAATCAGATGTTAGGGATGTGGAAATGAAGGAAAACTGGTGACATCACAATACTTTACAACTTTACAACAAATGAAGAGTCTGAATTTGTTGCCTCTACCAGTGTATAGCAAGGGTGGAAAGCAAAGGCACACATAGGTTCATGAACCCCTCGAAACAGAGGGTGGAAAGGAACCGGGGCTGGGAAAGGACAAAAACAGGAGACCCACTGAGTACAAAATGCACGTTTCAAGGTCAGCCCGGTAACTGGTGTGGTGCACATCATGAAGCAGATCACTGCAGAAGCTGTTGCCATGATTATTCCTCTCTATGTTTTGGGAGAACGCTTTGTGGGGTGGTATCAAAGGGACCTGCGCATTTGGTGCTCCAGAGGTTTGGAGCTTGGTTAAAAGGTTGTGAGTTGGTTGTTTTAAAAAAATGACCTTGCTACCTGCTGTTTACAAGGGGTTTTCTGTTTGTCTTTATTAAAACAACTACATTGCTTTGAATACAGAACTATCTACTCCAGTCTGCATAGTTCACTAAGGGTGAACAAAACCGTTTCATAAAAGAAGCCATGATGAAATGAAAGAACATGCAAGCACCCTTGTTACACACTTTGGTCTAGACCATCCAGACTTTATATATACCATCTATAAGCTAATGGGCTTAAAATCTGTCTTTTCAATCAATTCAGAAACAAAACCAAACCCCTGAAAAACAAATGGAAGTATAAAATTTTAAAAAACAAATTGGAACAGAAAGAACCACCTTACTCAAACATACTGTTCAGTAGATATATATATATATAAAAAGTTTAGAAGTGATCCCCATCATTTTTCTACAGTATGTTGACACAGTTATTGTAACAGATTAAAAACACATCTACGTTTTTGCATAAACTGAAAGACCGGAAAGGAACTTACACACCTGCGCGGGCACACACACACACACACACCTGTGTGCGCGCACACTCCCACACTAGCTACATGCACAGTCACACAAAAGAAACAAAGAAAAAAAAAACATTTTTCCCCAAAGAAGTATATGCAACATCCTTCTGGAGCAGCAGGTAGCTACAGCAGGAGCCCGCCTGCCTGCCTGTCCTAGCTCCATGTGCCCTGTGGGATGTGCGGCTGGGCTTTCTGCAGGGCTTGGCCCCTCTCGCCAGTGCTCGTCTGCAACCAGGGGACATACCAGCCCCCATGGACAAGGGTGATGGTCCCTTCCCTGCTACTCAGTGAGAATGATCTCCATGCTGAGCTGTAGTAAAGGGGGAACGGGAGGTGGGGGGAGGCAGAACGCCCAGCATGGTGCCTTGGAAGCATAGGCGCCTGTGGGTGGTTTTGAGAGAGGACTTGGCACAGCTTGAATGTCAAATTAAAGTGGAGGTTTATGGTGCTAGCCTAATTTCTTGAGGGACAGGGAGTTATGACAATAACCACCACATTCTTCTCTCTTTACTCCAGTTCTTGAAGGGGCTTGGAGGAGGAAGGCTCAATAAATATTTGCATTACTCAGAGGGGAAAAAGAAAACGGTTTTTACATACTACAGCTCACAAGTATACACAACTGAGGGTGTAAGGCACAAATTTACATGTGGAAGAAAACAGGCTATTCACAGATATATTCCCACGAAAAACCCGTGTGATAAGACCATAATTTATGCATGGTAACAGCCGGCATATTAACTAGTTCACACTGAGGGTTTTGTTTGCCGTCTCACATGCAAGGTGAAATGAGATGGCACATCACAAGCTGGTGCCTTCACAGAAAGTATTAGCTACTGACAAAGCCATGTTGATAGCAATGGTGCACAAATGTGCGGCTTTTAAGAGTTTCTCTTGCAGTTGCTTTAGAAGTTATGAACTTGTGGTATTTGTTGCTGTCTTAGGTCAGAGGCCCAGCTGGCTAATTAGCTGAGAGACTTAAATAGATATCCCCTTTTTTTTTCAGCTAATCAGGCAGTCCAGGCACAAAGTTCAGAATTCCAGCTCCAACTTATCTAACTCAGTGAATTTCTTGGAAAAATAAAAGAGCTTAATTACTCCAGTTAATGGGTTTCACGTTTAATAGGTGTAACTTTCAAGGTACTTCTCTGAAGAGCTGCTTATGGGATGATATGCAGAAGTCATTTCCTTAGGAAAAACAGAAGTTGAACAATAAATAAGAGGAGTTACTTGTGTTAACAGTCACGTGTTATTCATTAAAAGAGAAGGGTAGCAGAAATCTATGGTATACTATGCCCAACATGGCATTTAACTGCTGTAACCAAATGGCTGTAACACTGATGGGCATCACTTCACAGTACCTGCACGTAGTAAAATTCTGCCATCGTTAAGTCAGAGTTAGCTTTATCAATGGATTCTTTTTTTTATTTTTTACTTTTTTACTGTTTAAATTTGTTTGTTTTTGTAACTGTTTGTTTTGCTTT